AGGTGACGTAGCAAAGGGGACATGTACAGGCTCCTAGTTTAGGAGGGCGTCAAGTACTGGATTCACCTGTAAACTGATCTCTCATTGGAGGGAAGGGGGGTTGAATTGTTCATGTGTTGTATGCAGGGATTTAAAGGGTCAGTACAAAAAGAAAATGTGGAATCGGCAAGGTCACAAGGTCTGTTTAAAAATGTATTTCTTTGAGAGTCTGGGCAGCCTTAGACAGCCTTAGACAATCGGAAATACAATTCCCACTGCGGGGCAGTGACACTTATGGGATGTGCTGGGATTTGTAGTTCTTCAAGTGCCGAGTAGTCGCAGGTCACAATGTAGACGGGATATGTCTGGTTTGCAATGCCCCCTTCCCCCCCTCACATAGATCCGTTTGCATCCAAAAATAGTTTTGCCAAGTCATTTGCACAATGTAAACACGGCGGCCGTCTCTCCCGTCTCTCCATATGAAGGTGGCTGCGGCTATTCTTTAAAGTGAATAGCATAGATGTCACCAGCACACCAAAAGTCAATTTAATGACAAATTGCCATTCAATTACAAGCGCTTTCGGGGCCTCAAGCCCTTTCATCAGGCTCAGAATTCTGAGTCATTCTGAGCCTGATGAAGGGGAACCCTTGAGGCCCCGAAAGCGCTTGTAATTGAATGGCAATTTGTCATTAAATGGACTTTTGGTGTGCTGGTGACATCTTTGCTATTTCTGTGTTGTTCACGGTGCTATCCGTGGTCACTACAAGCACCCACCTGTATATACAGGTTGGCCACTGTTCCGGTTAGGAGTGCAGCAAGATACCTACTCTGTTATTCTTTAAAGTGGACCTGTGGTCAGAATCCATTATGACATATGACCTATCCAGAAATAAGAATTATTGGCAGGATCAGCAGGGAATCCAACCTGCACCCAGGTGATGATCCCACCGACAGACTGCGGCATCCAGAAGATGTACATTCTCTCCAGTATAATTACTATTATATAAAGGGGAACTCCAGATTATAGCATTGTAAGCACAGGTCCAAGGCTACAGCTCTGTGATATATGTTGCTGGTCCAGTGAAGCTGTAAGGAGAGATCCGCTGAACTACACAACAGGGACCCAGTATTGCTTGTTCTATATAGCTCTGGTGCTATCCACTCTGTTTCCACGAACCATTCTAGAAGTGGAGAAGCCGATCAGAAGTATTGATCTATGATGACATCATACCCAGTCAGGATTATCTTCTGCCTACCAACATGCAGGCAAAATAAACTCGGTTCCTATGGTCCATTCTATAGGCAGAGAAGCCATCAGCACTACTGATCTGTGATGACATCATAACCAGGCAGAAGAATATAAACATTGAGGTAGTGAAAGAAGGATGAAGATAACGTCTCTGCCAGTAATGGCCACCCCCATATTTTTATCTTCATGGGTTTCCTTTAAATCTGAATTCTAGTCAGATATAAAAGACATAATTGAATGCACCTCTGCAATCAATAATACGTTGTTACATGCAAGCAATATAAGTACCTGAATCTGACCTGGTTTCTTCCACCTATATTCACAACTTCTGATTATGTGACGTGTGTAATTTACCTCTAAACATTTGAAAGGAGCAAAGTAACCCATAAGCCCTGATGTAGGGGGAGATTGTGGACACCAGAAACACGATGGATGTTTTATTCTATTGTTCTGATACAGTGTATTACAGGATCCCTGTGGCCCTGCCAGGAATTGTGTATGTATGAGAGAGAGAGAGAGAGGGCTGGATGGATGGAAGTTTATTTTTCTTTATTTAAGCCGAACGGTTGTGTAAGACGCACATGTTTGCATCTTCTTAGCTGGTGCTCTGCAGTAATTATACACTTATGAGTCTCGGTGTTCCTACGCCATGCGGCGTCACTGTTTGTTACCCCTGCGCGGCTGCTGTTCCGCCAGCAGAGAGGACTTGGAGCTGTGTTCCCCTGCTGTGCCCTGTCAGCTGAGAAGAGTGGGTGTATCGTATGTACCATGCACAATTAATGAGCCCTCGCCATCACACAATGCTGGTTTTCACTTCCCCCCTCCCCACTCAAGTCTTTGTTTTCTGCTGCGCTCTTTGTGTTAAAGGAACACGCATGCAGTGCAATCAAAAGCTGCTGAATTGCTATGTTTGAAATAAAAATGTGGCATTCCGGAGTTTGTAGCTAAAATGACAATCGGAGCTAGTGATGGGCTGCTTCATTTTCCCGGCCAGGATGCTGGATCAGGCTAATCTTCAGCCAGGGGACATACATTGTTTGGGCTGTTTAGTGCAGCGGAAGCCATGTGCACAGTTAGAAGGTCTGGATTTCTGTCGGGATCAACAGAGTTTTATGTACTTGCAGCCTTTTTAAGAGACAACATAAACACCCTTCCATTAAACAGAATTGTGTTTTGTAAGTAGATGTGGGACATCCCCATAGACCATAGAGCTAGTTCAGATCTGCTCAGCCATGTCATTTTTGTCTTCCACGTGTTGCTGGCTGTTATAACGTATGGGGGGGTTGTTCTGCAGTCATTTGGAGGTTTATAATTTCCTATTTGGATTCAGATTAGATTCTTCTTAATCAAGACAATCTCAAGCAGAGAAAATTGTGAAGTTGTACCTTTTTGTTTAATTGTATGTCCATTTACGTGGTTAGCTAGGGCAGTCATCTTATCAGAAAAAAAGATTTGATTACTCATTGATTAGATCTGTTCAGGGGAATTCATTAAAAATGGTTGGAGACAGAAACTGGAGAAGCTGTGCATGACAACCAATCAGATTATCTCTTTCATTTCCAAAGGATAACTGAAAAAGCTGAAGAGAGAAGCTGATTGTTTACTATGGGCAACTGCTTCAGATACTGTCTGCTCCAGTTTTGAGAAGTCCCAATGGGTAGTATTAACATTCTGCTGGTTATGATGGGTAAGGACAGACATAAAGAATGTCATGTCCATGGGGGTGTTCGGATGATAACTGTGATATGAAATGTTGCTTAGATATGATTGTAAGATTTTTTTTTTCTGAGTGGCATTTTGGGTAATAACAGTGTCCTGTTTGTATTCTTGTTTTGCAGCCTGTGCTGTGGCGGGCCTGTGGAATTGCATCACCATCAATCCATTGAATATTGCGGCTGGCGTGTTTATGATGTGAGTATATACAGGACCAACCAACAGGCCTTATGTTCTTATTACATTACATATGGAAAGCCAAATGCATATACAGTACATGAATGTTTTATCTTCTGATAGACCTATAAAGAAGAACACATGTGCTTGCAGCCTTTCACTACCCATCACCACCACCACCCCCGCTTGTGCTGTAGAGATGCATAGCATAGGGATGGTGACAACACTATCCAAAAGCTGGGATTTCAGCAGTCTCTTTGCCATGCCCACCTCCTGCCTGCCCTCTGGATAACCAGAAGCATGACCACACTGGTAACACCCAACCTGAGCATCCATCTTCCTGTAAGTCCACCTAAGAACTTCCCACCCATCTGCCTACTGAGCGGCCACTCAACTGCAAGTCTGGTTTCATGGTTGTTGGATTCATATGTAAATATTAATTGCTGTCTGCTGGGAAGATTCACCCTCTCTACTAGTCTCGGTAACCACGGTCACCTAAACAAAAAGTCACGGGAAACCCAAATTATTAGAGTTGTCAGCAGAACAGGAGGTGAGGGTAAATCTTGCAATGGGGTCATCTGTTCTGGTGACAAATAATAGGAGATATCCTGACTTTAGAGATGATTTCTCCTACTTTTTGTTGTGTCGCGGGGACATGTAATGAGGGCAAGTTTTCCCAAACGGACAGAGAGCAAAGAAAAAAGGACTGAAATTCCAACCATTCCCTACACCATCCAATACTTATAAAGGAAAGTTTTGGTTATAGAAACTTGTAAAAGATTACAAAGTAACATACACAATTGAAAAATGAGTCTCCTGTTTCTTGCGCATGACACATTCGATCAATGGGCTATGTTTCCCAGTGTGGACCTAGTGCAAATGTCACAGCTTACCCTATCCATTCTCTGTCATCAGGTGGTCCCAAAGCTCAAATAACAGTCACTCTGGTTACATACACACTTTTAAAAGATCACAAAGTAAAGTGTATGAGTGAGAAACAATTCTACATTCTCTGTTTCTTGCTCATGAAACACTGGGTCCACGGGATGGTTTCCCAGTAGGCACATCCAGTTGCAAAGAAGTTATGCTGACACTCAAGCCCTGACTCAAACTACAAAGCACAGCTTTTCCCAAATTCACTACTTATATATGTTTGTGAAAACTCCTCTATATGTTTGTTCTGGGTTCTTATTCACACAGCAAACCTAAACAGAAATGTAAAAAATATATTTCTTACTTTTTAGCTGTTTCTTTGGCGGAAGCCTTTGTGCAGATTCCAAAATACTCTGAGCAGTTTGAGAGGGAAACTATAGTGTAAGGGTCACCTTACACATTACAATCTGCCCATGTAATCTTTGTACAATCAACTTACCAAAACGATGTAATGTAAGGACCAACCTGATCTGTCCATCAGGTATACTCTTCCACTACATAGTTGTTTGTACAATCTCCTGCAGATCTACCATCGGATTGTAAAGGTTTGGTGAGCCTTAGACTAAGGGTCCAACTGAGCTTCCCTCAATGAGTGCTCGCCATTTGCGAGAGGGATTTAAAATGCCAAACACAGGGCTGCACTGAGTGTACAGTGTATGGGTAGTACACCAGCAGCCGCAGGGGAAAAGGAAAGTTCGCTTTAAGGTAAGACCAATGGGAAGGGGTTGTGGGATGAGGTGGCACATTGGTGGGGGTAATTCCATTTTCCCAAGTTCACCCGGAAAAGTGGAATTACCCTTTAAGCCCTGAGGAAGACGGAATCTAAATACGTTGGCTGTATCTGATATTTTCATTTTTTTCAAAAAAACAACCGAAATAAACCTTCAAGCAAGATGACCATTTTTTAAAAGGCGCTCCTAACCACTGATCCAGGATTTTGATCTTCTGTTGAGCGATACCCTCATTGTGACCAGAGAGGGAGCAACTTTAGATCATAACCAGATCAGTGCACTACACACGTACTGTTATCTTGGATTAGCTTCTTCAAGGAGTATACTCCCCCCACCACCTATTTTATTCAGATTTACATCTATACCAATTCCTACTCCTACTGTTCCATCGCTACCGCATATCTAGGAGTTGTGCAGAGGTCACAGGATGCTCCAACTATTGTCAGTCACTAGGTGGCCCCAGAGCTCAAATAACAGTCTTTGTGTCTGAGCAGCACAATTGATGAACTGCTTTGCCCTGTTTGCAGGGCATGCTGACACTTGTAGTTTCTCAGTTATGTTAAGGCCTCCGACTGACTGTAAGTAACCGTAAACTAAATAATAATTTAAAAAAAAGGACTAAATGTGAGAGAGCTCCTAATGGCATTCACATGCATGTAGAAATCCTCACATCTGAGATTGCTGTGCAGCCGCCGTCTTAGATCAAAGGAGGCTAATTAGTGGCAATTTGCAGTATTTGGAAGGTTGAATGTTCTGCGCTATGAAACAGACCCAAAGGGGGAGATTTCACAGAAAATAAGGGTTAACCACAAGCTGCTGAAACTAAGGCTAGATGAGCCTCACAAAATGGTTTAAAAATAGTGAGCGCTATGGGTCCCCTGGAGTAAAGTGAGAATCCAACAATAACTTATTAAATAAGTGGTATAAAATTATAAATATCTCTAAGTGAACATCTTATTATGTAAACAATAAAAAATAGTATATAAATTGCTGAAGTGATATGTGAATAAACGAAACAAAAATACACAATGTAAATTGACTAATGAAGTGGATAAAAATGCTTAAATATAAATAAATGTGAATAAATAAATAAATCTTCAATAAACCGTGTGTCCGTGATTTTTTCTGTATTACAGTGTACATATAACTGCGTCTATCATCACCTGTGGTGTACTGATAGATGTGCAGTGGTTTATCATAAACGTGTCCTAAACTTTGAACCAGATGGACAATTAGTTCTTAAGAGGTTAAACAATGTCCAAAAAGTACTCCAATTTAAAAAAGGCACTCCAATCTAAAAAAGGCAAAAACTTGACAAAGACTTGAATGTATATATCCAAGATGATCGTATCCTGGGGGATGATGTGTCGGAGAAGCGATGGGTGCCCGTAGGGCTTACACTCACCAGATGCCGGGAGGGAGTCAGCTTTCTCTTCCACCGTAGTGGCCGAAAGGAGATGGTCTTTGCTCCGTCCTTCCGTGGGATCTTGCAGTATACTTTCGGTCCTGGTCCCAAAAAGAGAATGTTTGCTGGCTGTTTCCCACTGGGTAGAAATCCCTTCACTTGCTGTCCTCTATACAGGATTCAAAGGAAGGCAGTAGGAGAAGTACGAGTGTTTGTACCATCCTTTTTTTTTATGCTACTTGCATCACCAGTCAAACTTTGACTTTCAAGGCAGGCTTAAATAGGATTTGTGGCTGTTAGCAGATCATAAACTGGCATGGTTTCTGTGTGATAGACAGTAAAGAGGGAGTTCCAGCATCAACTGCAGGTGTGTTCCAGGATCACCAGATTGGAGGCTATATAAAAAAAAGGATGGTACAAACACTCGTACTTCTCCTACTGCCTTCCTTTGAATCCTGTATAGAGGACAGCAAGTGAAGGGATTTCTACCCAGTGGGAAACAGCCAGCAAACATTCTCTTTTTGGGACCAGGACCGAAAGTATACTGCAAGATCCCACGGAAGGACGGAGCAAAGACCATCTCCTTTCGGCCACTACGGTGGAAGAGAAAGCTGACTCCCTCCCGGCATCTGGTGAGTGTAAGCCCTACGGGGACCCATCGCTTCTCCGACACATCATCCCCCAGGATACGATCATCTTGGATATATACATTCAAGTCTTTGTCAAGTTTTTGCCTTTTTTTAGATTGGAGTGCCTTTTTTAAATTGGAGTACTTTTTGGACATTGTTTAACCTCTTAAGAACTAATTGTCCATCTGGTTCAAAGTTTAGGACACGTTTATGATAAACCACTGCACATCTATCAGTACACCACAGATGATGATAGACGCAGTTATATGTACACTGTAATACAGAAAAATCACGGACACACGGTTTATTGAAGATTTATTTATTCACATTTATTTATATTTAAGCATTTTTATCCACTTCATTAGTCAATTTACATTGTGTATTTTTGTTTCGTTTATTCACATATCACTTCAGCAATTTATATACAATTTTTTCTTGTTTACATAATAAGATGTTCACTTAGAGATATTTATATATTTAGAATTTTATACCACTTATTTAATAAGTTATTGTTGGATTCTCACTTTACTCCAGGGGACCCATAGCGCTCTCTATTTTTAAACCAATTTGCAGTATTTGTTTCTGTGATTAATGGACAGGAAGTGGGCTGTGTGTCGGAGAATATCCTCCCCAACTATACACCTTCATTTTAAAGATCTTCTTTTCTGATACATTTGCACATATTTATTTGTGACTATTCTAACCTCCTCTATAAAGACAAATCTGTATTTAGTGATTCTTTAATCTGCCTGCAATTGTTTGTTTTATCCGCCCCTACAGGGTGAATGCACTTGTTCTGTTTCTCTGCGAGGCTCCATTTTGCTGCCAGTTCATCGAATTTGCAAACACTGTCTCTGAAAAAGTCGACCGTTTGCGGCCATGGCAGAAGGCCCTGTTTTACTGCGGGTATGGTACCAGAGCCTCGGCTTCACCTGAGCAAATTACTGAAATGTGTTTTACATGGGGGGGGTCATGGCCACTTTAAACTGGCCACATACCTCACAATGTGATTGTGAAATATTGTTTAGCTTTACCTAAAACTGTGTAGTAAGACAGCCTGCCAGACATCCCATTCAGTATGCAAGCTGTGTACACTACATAGCTGTTGGTGGTCATTCCAAAGGAGATTGTACAATCAGACATTTGTTTTGTAGATTCACATATGAATGTGGACAATTGACTGTAAATTAGAGGTGCACCAAAATTAAAATCTCAAAACCGAAATGAAAAATGTTTTTTATCCTTTTTCAATTTTTTTTTTTTAAACAAACTATAACCACAATCATGAATGAACAGGAGGAGAAGTAGATCACTTCCCATTCATTCATAATTGGGGATATAGTAACCATACCATGTCCTCAATTATCTACAAACACTCAGCAATCACTGAGTCCTTGTACCTGTCACAGGAGGCTCCTGTGACAGTACTGCAAGCTATTTCTGCCCACACCACTCTCCCAATCTGTGACAGGAGGCAGGGAGGAGAGACGCTGGCCGCTCAGAGCGCTCTCCTCCTGCAGCGCTCAGCCGGCTGTGACGGTTTCTCTCCTCTCCACTGGGACACAGAGCAGCGCCCAGCGGGGAGGAGAGAAAGAATGGATGCATCGCTATTGCGGCCAGAAAATGGCACCTTCGGCATTTTGCCAAAAGTGCCATTTTCGGCCGATATATCGGTGCACCCTAACGTAAATGATATTACCAATGTGTTTTCAAATATTTAGATTTTTATGTATAGTATGTCATTTTATGCTGTATGTAAGGACATCAGCCATATTTGCATATTATAAATCCAGGCTGTACTTACTAGTAGTGCCCAGTGGCTGTGCATAATGCTAGCTGTGCATGGTCCACCTCCGTCCAGGCCTGCTCCACATATAACCCTCTGCAATGCTTCTACAGCTGCACTGTTGTGAAGATTCTGGACTCTGATGGAAAGGGGGAACCCCATGTCGTTATTTTAATTTTTTTTTCTGCATGGTGTCGCCCCTTAAAATCCATACCAGCCCTCTAGGATAAAAGTCTAATATAGATTTAGACTGGTACATTTCAATGGCTATAAACGCAGTGCACAAACTGGGAGCAGTATATAAATGATCTCGCTGAGTCTTGCCTGGTCCTCTTATGAGCTCTGTAGAGTTAAATAGCTGTACAAAGCACATGTTTAATCACCTTTGTTCCTGTTTACTACAGGATGGCGCTGTTTCCCGTTTTCCTGAGCTTCACCATTACCACCCTCTTCGGTAACGCTATCGCATTTGCAACTGGAGTTTTATATGGGCTGTCTGCACTTGGGAAGAAGTAAGTTGTTATGGAAAAAATGTAATTCATACCTACTGGAGGGGATTTATTAAAAGTGTAGCAGACAGAATCTGGTGCAGTTGCCCATGGCAACCAATCAGCATCTCCCTTCAGTTTGCTCAGGTTGCAAGATTTGAAAATGAGACCGAGAAGCTGATTGCAAATCTGCTCCAGATTTAGTCTGCTCTAGTTTTAATAAATTCCTCGCACTGTATTTAATCTTTATGTGGCTACTTTTAAGTTCAGTCCCTTGCCAGCTTCTTATGTCTCTGGAGGCTCCAATGGTGAGATCTCTCTAACAGAATGCCTCATTTTTCCAACTGTCACAGCTGTTACACATCCAAATAATGATTGCACTCTACCCCAGTGGGTACTCCATAAGTAAGTGTTCTTTTTATGCACACCAGCCGCATAACACCAATTTATAAACATAACACAATTTTAGTTAACCTCGTATTGTTGGTATTCTTTTGTCTGTCTCTCTCTATCTGCAAGGAAAGGCGCTCAGCTCTCTTGATGTAATGATAGCTTTCCCTTGTATGTTACCTTTCACCACTGGGAGATTACTGCTGGTCATTTTTGGTGTGGAGAAACATGAGAGAGATTCCCAAATCTATGAACCCCTTAACACTAACCCTAAGCATAACCACCGCACTAACATGCCTTCCTTCAACTCTGACACAAAGCTGCCCTGTTGCCCTTGCACTGATAACACCTTTGGCACCGGCACAGCGCTGATGCGCCATACCTAGTACATCACACTGGGTCCTTTTTTTTTTTTTTTTTTGTCTTTGTTGCCTCTAGACATCTTGCGGAGGTACACAAGAGTCAATTCAGACGGTTCAGAGGAGTCGCTCTTCGCTGTGTGCCTTGGTAGTCGTTCTCGATTAAGATCCTGCTGTGGAGCTCCGGTTTCAAGCGGCCATTTTAGATCGCGGCCAAACCACGCCCCTCATCTTTTTACATGTTTTCTTCATAGTTGCATAGTATTTGTGGTTGAATAAACACACAGGTCCATCAAGTTCAACGTGTGTGTGTGTGTGTTTGTGTAAATACCTACTTGGTTTTTTTTTTTTTTTTTTTTTTTTTTTACAGTATTAAAATGTCACAAGTGACATTTCATTCCCTTCCATCGGCACAGCGGGCTGCGTGGCAGTTGTACCGCGTCATATACCACTACGCTGAAAAAAAAGTACTGCTTGCCATACTTTTTTTTTCAGTGCACACCTCCATATTCCACTGCTACAAGGTGGTGTGAGTGGTGTCCATCTGTGATGATGCAAATTGTCTTTTCTTTGGGGCTGTGCTGGAACTAATGGCCAGTGCAGCCACAATGCATTTTTTTTTTTAATTGATTTTATTAGTATTTTATACAGTACAACGTATCTGATTTACATTTACCTTATTTCTTACATACAAGAAGGAAAAAAAAAAAAAAAAAGGGAAATTCAAAAAGGGGGGGAAGAGAGAAAGAGGAAAAGGGGGGGGTATGTGGGGGAGATCTGGCAATCCTATCGAGTTTCTTCTCTATTCTACTTTACTCAAATAATTTTAATTTTACATTTTAAATGGACCCTTCGCGCCTACAACTCCCAAGGCTCCGGCCCTCTCTTTTGGTCTTCCTATTTATCCACATATTTCTATCCTGTATCTTCTAGATTTCCGTACAGATTTTTAAATTCCTTCCATTGTTGCCACGTAATTTCATATTGTTTCACTGTGTCTCTCCGGATTGCTGTCAATTCCTCCATTAATCGAAAGTATTCTATTCTGTTATACCATTCCTTCATAGTTGGTATAGTCTCTTTATTCCAGTACTGTGGTATCAGAATCTTAGCTGCGTTAATCAAAGGGTATAACAGTGATCGTTTATATGCCATGTTCGGAGGATCCATAAGATGGAATAAACATGCCCCTGGTTCCAAGGGCACAGCGATAGTTGTAATTTTTTCTATGTTGTCCACCACCCGGCCCCAAAATGGTTGAAGTTTAGGGCAGGACCACCATATGTGAATATAGTTCCCAGTATTACCGCAGTTTCTCCAGCACAACTCTGTCCTAGTTGAGTGCATTTTATGTACACGTTCAGGTGTGTAGTACCACCTAGCTATAAAACGGAACATTGTGTCGTTCACTAACGTGTTTATGGACGAATTTACATTGCGACTTAGAATTTTTTGTTTCTCCGCGTCCGTCCAGGTTGTCTCCAGTTCTTGTTCCCACTGCTTCAGATATCGTGGGAATAGGTTAGGTTGAGAGTGTACCAAAATCCTATAAATTTGAGAGATGCCGTGTCGTGGGCTGTCAGTAGAAAAAAATAATTTTTCCATTAATGTGAGTCCTGATATCGTGCGTATCGGTTTTGGGAGTGATGCAATAAAATGTGATATTTGTCTATGCCTCCATGTATCAAATGGGTAAGTCTCCCATTGTGCTCGAAGATCTGTTAAAGTATGTGGTTTGTGTCCATCACTTACATGGTAAAGCTTTAAAATAGTGTGGTTCGTCCATTTAAGAAAACCTGTATTGTGCATCCCAGGTTAAAAGAAAGAGTGATTTACAACTGGCATTAGAGGTGAATTATATTGCCCTATTAGCCAGGGGTATTGTGCTTTCCAAATTTTTAAAGTGTGTCGTGTCAGAGGGGAGGTATGGAGATGTAGTTTCCAATGTTCTTGAGGAATCCAACAAATAGTCGAAATTATTTGTCCAGCAAGTTCATTCTCCATCTCTACCCAGCATTTAGTTTCGTGAAAAAAGTGCAAATCTAACAATCTATTAGTAGCGACAGCCTGGTAGTCATTTTTAAAATCTGGTAGTGCTAGACCTCCCTGACCTTTAGTCCTAACCAAAGTTCCATGAGAGATCCTAGCAGGTGAACGTCTCCAGACAAAACGACTGACAACCAATTTAAGCGCTCGTAGAAAAAAACTTGGCAATGTAATCGGCACTGTCTGATATATATATAATACCCTTGGTAGTATCATCATCTTGATAATATTTATCCGGCCCGTAAGGGAAATACATGGATGATGATTAAACCAGTTATTAAGATCCTTTTTGATCGCATTTAACATAGTCATGTAATTGGCCCTGAATAGTTCTGTGGTGCTAGAAGTCAGTGAGATACCTAGATATTGCATTTTGTCTTTTTTCCAGCTAAACGACATTACTTCTTTCAGGGCCCGTACCCTATGTGTCGGGACGGATATATTTAATATTTCTGACTTTGATAAATTAATTTTAAAATTTGATATCTGACTAAAGGATTCGAATTCTTGTATTAATGATGGGAGGGTGATCTGGGGTTGTGAAATAAAAAAGAGAATATCATCCGCATATGCGGCCAATTTATGTTCCGTTGCACCAACCGTAATGCCAGAAATATTGCCATTTCGTCTGACAGTGGCCAAAAAAGGTTCCAGTGTCAGCACAAATAACAAAGGTGACAGTGGACATCCTTGGCGTGTACCGTTGTGTAAAACGAAACTATCTGATAGGGAGCCGTTTATTTTAATTTGGGCCGTTGGATTATTGTATAATGCCATTACCCCGGTCAAGAACCTGGGTCCCAGTCCCACCGCTTGAAGAATAGCCCGGAGATATTCCCAGTCCACCCTATCAAACGCTTTTTCCGCGTCCGTTGATAGTAGCATGATGTTATTTGTGGACAATGATGCCCAGTGTATAATATTAATCGCCCTCTGGGTGCTGTCTCTGGCTTCCCTGCCAGGAATAAAGCCCGTTTGATCAGGTGTTACTATTTGGGGCAGACAGCTACTTAATCTGGTTGCCAAAATTTTTGCGTATATCTTAAGGTCTGTGTTTAATAGTGATATTGGCCTATAGCTACTACATGTAGTTGGATCCTTACCCGTTTTCGGAAAAACTGATATGTAAGCATGCAGTGCTGATGGGGGTAGGGGAGTACCGTCGAGAAGTGAGTTAAAATACTCACATAGATGGGGAAGCAATATATGTTGGAATTTTTTATAGTATTGTGATGTATAGCCGTCGGGCCCCGGACTCTTCCCACTCGCCATCGCTACTATAGCTCGTTTAATTTCTTCTGTATTTATAGGGGCTTCTAGACTCTCCATATATGTTTTAGATATAGAGGGAAGAGGAGTTGATGCTAAATACGTCTGAATACGTTCCATATGTCGATCTAATATCGGGGTTGTAGGATCAGATCTTACATTGTACAGAGTTGTATAGTATTCCCTAAAGACATTAGATATCTCAGTTGTTGTATTTACCATCACGTCCTGTTTGGTTTTTATTTTGGCCACGAAGTTCGTCTTTTGTCGGTCTTTCAGTAGCCTAGCTAGAGATTTCCCTGGCTTATCTCCCAGTTCATATGAGCGTTGAGACATATAGTTAAGCGCTCTTTTATATGAAAAGGATAGTAATTCCTTTAACTCTTCCCTCGCCGCTATTAACTCTTGAAGTGCATGCTCTGTCATTGATCTCTTATGGGTACTTTCCAGTGTAGCTACTCTTGCTGAGAGCTCTATTATCTTACGATTCCTTTCTTTCTTTTTACGTGAGCCATAAAGCATAAGGACTCCCCTAATTGTGGCTTTGTGTGCCTCCCATACAATGCCCGGCGATGTGTCTCCTCCCCTATTTTCATTAAAGTAATTAATTAGATCTTTGGTTAAGGCCGAAGCCACTATGTCGTCCATCAGTAGGGATTCGTTTAATCTCCACATGAATGGCGGGCGCTTGGCCCCTGGGCATCTCAGAGACAACATCACCGGGGCATGGTCTGAGAGGGTAGCCGAGAGAATGTTTATATCCTGTATGGCATCTAGATGGTAGTGGTCCAAAAAAATATAATCTATTCGCGTGTATGTGACGTGTAACGGTGAATATAAAGTGTAGTCTCTATCTCGAGGGTGATGTATCCTCCATGTATCTATCAATTGCAGAGCATGTAGTGATGTTTTGAGCGATTTAAGCCATTTAAATGCTATGTGGGAGCGGCCAGCCGATGAGTCCAGCGAAGGGTCCAAATGTATATTGAAGTCCCCTGCAAAAATAACTATACCTTCCTGATATTCCTCCATAAGGCGTAAGACCCTACAGAGGGTCTGCTGACCATTCATTGCTCGGAAGACGTTCAATATCTGGTATTAACTCTTGCCATCCCGGCAATTGCGGTGTTTTAATAGATAGCAACCTTGCTGTGATTTAATGAAAGTCCTGCATCAAATGCATTTGATGTGAATGTGCTCTTATTAATGTGCTTACCTTTCCTGTGCTGAGATTCTTTGTGTTGAAGACCAGCCTAACCTATGCCGTAGGATCCCAGCACTAAGGGCTACAAACTTTTGGTTCCAGTGTTGTCAGGCAGAATGGTGTAGTGTGAAGGTGGACACAACATCGTAACTAATAATCTTCTCTCTTTATTGCAGGGGTGATGCAGTTTCTTACGCCAAGCTTCAGCAGCAGAAGAAGCAGACAGATGAAGAGAAGCAGGCCGGAACATAAATAATTCCGAGCCTCACGCCTAGTCTTCTGTAGTTTTAACCAATTCCGTTTTTTTTGTTTTTTGACGTGATCTTTTAAAGACTTTTGGATCCTGTGTGAACCTCTTTGCATCTCAGAATGGAGCTTGCAGTCATTTTTTATAACTGACGGTCTAGTTTTATAACAAGCTTCAGATTTTGGAACTCTTACTGGCAAACATTACAAGTTTTGTCAAGCACAAAAAGGGAAATCTCGCGTCGTCTTCAGATTCTGATTGTAAAAAGTAAATCGTCAGTCTGCAGCGTCCACATTTTAAAAAAAAGGATCTCAGATGTTACAATGATTGTAGACCAAGAATTTTTAGTCCATGATTTTTTTGCTTTTTTAACTTTGATAACTGAATTTAACATTTTAGATTTAGAATTTGATGTATGGCGCCGGTACAGCGACCTGCATTTAGTTTTATTGTCTTTGCTCATTGACCATCTGAAAGCTTTTAGCAGATGGAGAGTTTAAGCATTTTGTGAATCTTCTTAGCACATCACTGACCCCGAGGTCTCTTTGAATTATCTAAAGGTTCTTTCACGATATTGCTTGGAAAGCTTTAGAGTGCTGTGAAAGGTGAGAGTGAAAGTTTCAAACCACATCCCATGTTAAGGACAATGAGCTTGAATTGTGTTTACATTGTTGGACCAGAGAAGCCTTTAGGACAAGCCATTTGGAAGATCAGAAAGTCTTCGCTACAACAGTCGACATTATTTTGTACACGGTTTTTATTAGAAGTATCGTCCCTGACAGTTTCAAAGTTGATCTGGGATCATATTCGCTGTTTTTTACTTGTAAGAAATTCAGCAAAATTGCATTTTGCAGATGACAAATTTATATACACATTCTGCTGGTGGGGTGAGGATATTGCTGACGCTGATTTGCTTTAGCCTAAACTATATATAATACATTATTTTAAGTAGAGATGGGCAGCTCAATATTGTGGCTAGCCATCCCAAACTTTGATAAATAGGAGAAAAAAACATAGAGGTAAAAAACATAGAGGGAGATATTCAGCAAAATGAAATGCAATTATTTGATCCGTCTTTAGTAGACATAGTATGTAGGTTCGCGCTGACTCAGATCTTCCAGGCGGCTATGTCTGACTGTTGCAGTGCTCCTCCAGCACTGCCAGGATTCTTCTTCCTGACTCGGGGAAAACTGTGTGTAGGGATACCATAGTCCTTTACTCACCAGGCTTAAAGAAATGCTCTGATGCAGAGATTATCCTGCAGGCTGCACTCTCTCCAGTTGAATTAGACTTTGCCCGGTGTTTGATCTTGGTCTGACACTTCACAAAAGTGTATGCAACTTAAAGTGGTTTTGTCATAAAGTAGTACAGTGAGCCATCACTTTGTCCAGATTCTTCTCCATCCCTCAGCACAAGCCCCCAAACCTGGAATACGTGCATTATAGAAATACTGACTGTGCTTCAAAACAAACACACGCTGCATAGTGAAGGGGTCTGTGCCAACAGGCCTTGGACTTGTGGCATCAGCTTGAGATCATTCGGAATTCATTGGCAGATGCCTTTGATCTGAAGTTGACCTCCTGTCCTGAATTTGACCTGCTTTAAGTGAGTTTGGCATTTCTATAGACTTGCAAGGGAATGCAAAACCCAGCAACACAGGCCCTAATGTGGCTGCTATGGCACCCTACTGAAACAAACCTGAATTGCGATGTAGGGAGCTGTATCTGATGTCTTGGAGTAGAGTGGAGATTTGCTTACTGTACACCCTTTCTGATTGGGAACTTTGACAGCCAGATGTCATGTATATGTATCTTGAGCAACATTATGTTTCCAGGTATCACTGTAGCAGACCATAAAGGGTTAGAGCCTGGAGCTCTTGCCTGGGAGAGAAGGTTGGAGCCACACAGAGACTGCATGTGAGGCCAATGTTATTGCTGCAGTCTTCATATAAGATCAGTGTGTAGTTGATGAGGAGGATGTGTGTGAGTAGTAATGTTATAACATTTTCCTTACCTTTTGTCATTGAAGGTGAGTGAAAGATTGGTCATTTCACACACATATTTCCAAAAGTCTTTATGATGGCGAGCAGTCCAGTCAGTTGAAAGAGGTTATGTTTGCCCTTTAGGGTAGTCCTAATCGGGCCTGTCATCCGAGGTTTAAATTGGATCTGGCTGTTTATGAATCATATTTTAAATATGATTCCCTACAGACAAAGTCTAAGAGCTCAGCACATGGGTGGTCACCATCTCTCAGCCGCTTTGCAGTAATGTTTATGGAGGAAGGTTCTTTCTGTCCCCAGTGTGACAAAACGGACATGACCAAGGCAGCAGGGGAAATGCAGAAAACATCATTGCTCCACCCTCCCCCCCCCCACCTCTCCTCCTATAGTTTCACACATTTGAAAAAAAAAAAACCATTGCAGGGAAGAAGACCATTTGTACCAACTTTCAAGCAGAATTAAAGGGTCAGTCGACTTGGAACTGGAAATATAGCTTTTAACAGATGCTGAAGTATTCTAACCACCAACAGTTTCTTTAATGTCTTCAGTACTCTGTGATCTGTTCGAGTTCTCTGGTCTGCACTGTCGCTGCAGCCTTTACATCCTACTTTCACTCTTTTCCTGGATTTTCAACCTTAAAATGGTGCAAGGAAATTGAGCTTCTCTTTTTAAGACAGTACTGTTGTTAAATGCTCTAAAAGTACAGAATTTAATTCTACAAGCAAATTAACAGCAGAAGAGATTGTAGTGAATCGTTAGATTTACATAGCATCAAAAAAACGAATTTATTGTAGGTCACTTATTATATTGTTTACATGATTTAACACCTTTTTAATGTAAAAGGTATTAGGATATTATATGGGACATCATCCAGCAAGCAATAGGGGAGATTTATTACCTTTGCTGCACAGCAAGTCTGTGTGAAAGAGGAGCAGAGCTCTGTGTTACTAGTCAAATTTGCTATAAGATCGCACCTTGGCTCCAAAATTGTCTCTGAACCTCAGGTATATTAGTGGTCCAGCATAAAATAAGGCTCCATCTGTTTTCAAGGATAACTGTGTTTTTCACATTTTTCATAAAAAAATAAGCATTAACCCATTCTTGGCCTCACTCAGAAAAGATGTAAATGCAACCGTGTCTTTGTCCTCAAGAAAACTCCTTTACTATTGGCTGGGCTGTACCAAGTTGGAGACTGGAGAAACTGCTAGGCTGGAGTGGCAGAGCATTGTGCACTGGACATCACCACCATCACCACCATCAGTAGCATTGGGCAGACACCCAATGGTTTTGGAAGGTACAGAGCCGCAAGCTAGTGAAAACTGCCCTGGACAATGGCCGATGGTTTTCTCGAGAACAAAGGTACTCTAAAATATAAAGTTTTTGGCCTTCAAGTTAAAATGTAATAAATTCTGTTGCATGTATTTGCAAAATTGTTGCAGCCGAATGTGCGTGACCACCGGGGTCACAGATATGCATAAAGCAATTGTAAATCTTTTGTTGAATAAGAGGCAGCCTGAGATCAATGTCCCCTGTTGCATTTGAACAATATTTACTAGGAAGGTCTAATGTATAGGAACTAATGTGAGGTTTTTAGAATAAGTCTTAACTTTCTTAAATTGTATCATGTTTTTCTGAATGAACTGATTTTAATTTTTTTGTGTGTGTGTACTTCTAATTTAAACAGGATAAATTAAACTTATATTTATTAAGATCAAATCTCACAGCTCAGCTGTGTCACTGGTTTACTGGTGGTCATATTCTTGAATTTGGGGTTTAGAAATAATGCAGGTGAAAGGGTGAGGTACAAAGTTAGCAGCCCATGGCAATCAGATGGCAGTTTCCTGAGCACTAGTGAGAACTCTGGTTGCTCTGGGTTGCCCCACTTGGAACATCCTATTGCTCTGTGCATCTTTAACTAAACCCAGATGAGTTGGTAATTCCGTTCACTCATGTCTTGTTGAATTTGACCAGCAGAACCATGCTTTTCAGTGAAAAATGCTGCACTCTAGTTTAAGCCATACACTTAAAGGGAATTTGTGGGGAAATACATTTTGTACATATCAAAGGTGAAATGTTTATAACGGGCCACTCTGTGGAACTACAAGTTGTCTTGTGATTTCTGCAAGTGGTACCAAGGAACTGAGCTTTGCTTGCAGTAATCTGGTCACAAAACAAGTGAATGGGAGTGTTTTGGAAATGAGGAATATCAAACTTGCAGGCTGCTGCCATTTAGATGCTGTGTCCTTTAGGAAATGGTGTGCCCCTAAAGACATAGGCAACGGCAGGGAGGGCTCCCAATCGGATTCTTGGAGGAATGGGGTTTATTTTTTAGTCTTTTGGAAACAATATTGTCTTGTTAAATAGGGATCTTATCAGTAACCTTCTCCAAAATTAGAAATAGCTCTATTCTGGGTGAAGCTCTGCACGGTTCCATCCTTTGTCACATCTTAAGGCCCGCTTCACACCTGGGCGTTTTGTAGCGCGTTCGAACGCTCTACATAACGCTCAAACACCGAAATCCCATTATTTCCTATGGGTATGGTTCACACCTGGGTGTATTACAGGCCGTATGAACACGCTACAAAACGTCCTACTCTTTGGGGCGTTTTTGTCGCGCGTTTCCATTGGGATACAGCCAAGTAGCCCTAGGACGCGCGTCTGTCGCGCGTTTCCCCCCTGCAAATCGCAGTATAAACGCGCGCGACAAACGCGCATATTCGATACGTCCTAGGTGTGAACCTAGCCTTAGTGCTCTCTGCAACCTCTAGTCTTGGAACAGCAGGGAACCAATAGGGAGGTCCTTTTGTCCTTCCGGCACACCTAGTTACTAGTTTGAGATTTCTATGTATTGCTAGAGGGCACTGCGCACAGGAATACTGTATCATGTGTCTTCTTCTTTCCCTTTTAGAAATGGTGAATATAGCAGAAGCACTGAAAGCCGTTCTATTACATTACAACCAGCTGCTATATTTTCCAGTCTTGTATTAGGTCCTACAGAAGGGGGTATTGTGCAAGCTTCGTTGGCTGTTTTATCCTATTTATGATATAGTAAACACTTGTAGACTGAACCGCAGGTGTGGTACTTGTTTTTTATATCCCACATTTCCAGCACTCGAAACCTGACACGTTCTAACCCTCTGCCAGTCAAACACCTCAAACTGTTTACTCTAAGTTTTATTTTGCCTCCCGCAAAGTGGATAGAAACAACCAGTGTCGCCAGTGACAAAAGGAGAGCTGAATGTTGTTCCGCCAGTAGTTGCCCAAATCTTTTATTGGTTGTCTCTTTTGCTTTTTTTTATGATGGGAAATGCACAATGAAAGGATTGTTTCCTTCTCAGCTTTGTTTAGTCATTTGACACTCGGACATTTTTGAGCAAAGAACAGGAATTCTGAGGCTTCTACCACAGGCTGTCACCGTATTGGGAGCGCTTGTAATCAGCAATTTGTTATGCGTTACTAGATTACTGCAAACCGCTCCAGTCTTTGTTGTACCAGGCAAACAAAGTTGTGTCTAAATTCCATGTGTCAGTCAAGATCACTGCAGCTCTCTGTCTTTTTATTGGCTGGTGGACCACATGAGCACACTACAGGTGGCCTCCATTGTGGCTGGTTGTAAACCAGCGACTCTCGATTCTGCTAGAAGAGGGTCATTATTTTCTATTAAAATTTTTGCAGCAATGACTGGTACTCTTTCCAGCTTGTTTAATAGGGCAATGCAGAGCACATGAAATGTGTGCAATAGGCAGTGACCCAGAGCAACCAAAACCATCTCTAATATCTCATTGTTTCTCTGGGATGTAGCATTTTGCACATTGGACATTGCATTGCATTGCTCTCAATGAACCAGCTGATGTGTTTTCTTATATGTTGATGCAAATTGCAGCAATTTTGCAAACACTAACTTATCATACTGTGAACAGGAATTGTATATTTATTTCTTATGTAGCATCTTACCAATGCATTTTTTCTCTTGGTATTTTGTAGCAGAGATAACAGTAGATTTCCTAATTGCATTATTGATCCATTTTTAATACTCTAATAATAATAACAATTGTGTAGTATTTTCAGGTACTGCAGTTGCAGCTTCTTAATGATTACTTAACTTTGAGATTTTTGACTTCCTGTCTATGCAGTGAATAAAGACAATACCTTTCTACCTCCAAATGTCACTGCCTATTGTGTGTCTTATCTTAAAGGGGCAATCCCCCCATAAGTGATATTTTTGCGGCTGCTGAAGTCGTATTAAACTACCTAACCGTTGCTTCTATCTCTTGGGAGCTCTTTTGGTGAGATCTCCGCACCAAGTTCCCAGGTCTGCGAGAGAAAATGTGAGATTATTTCTTTATTCATATTATGTGGAATTTAACTGGAGGGGCGGAAAACTCCCTGGTGGTCAGGGACAGAGTCTGGGAATTATGTTGGAGTATTCAAGCATATAAGAAGCACAGGCTGACTCAAGCCCCAGGTTTCACCTATGACTAAAATATGCCTTTTGGATGGATTGACCATTTAAGTGGCATTAAGAAGAGTCAGAGTACAGCTGCCTTGGGTCCACTGTTGGTTTGAGAAAGAAAACAAGTCTCTGACTGATGTAGGCAAGCAGTCCTTTTCTGTGTCTGTAGAAATAACTACAGATGCAATTATTGTGGTTCCAAGCTGACTTTATTCTATTTGGTTTCCCCCCCAAAAAAGTTGGAGTTCTGCTTTAGGTATTGTGCCAGTAAGAATGCAGCTCATGTTACCGACTTAGGTAATTTGTTGCATTTTCAATTATTGGAGGAGAACAGAAAAAACCTAGGAGGAAGAACTTAGGAAATGTGTGTAACATCCTGTAAGCGTAGTGTCCTAGGTCAGTGTCATCTTCCTCCAAACAAATGGTGTAAGAGGTGAGCGCACAGACACTTCCAGTAATAGCCACACACTCCCAACGTTTCACTCACAGTTAAAGTGTACCTGTCAGGTTCTGACTTGACTGTAGAATGCCCAGAGACAGTGATTGTGACACGTTCTCTGTTAATGGTTAGAGGTCTCCAAACAGAGCTGACCAATCTGCAGCAACTCGCTTCAACTTTGGCAGAGGCTGTGTGCAGTGTTGGTCATGTGACCCATGCTAGAGGTGAGTTTAGAGGTTTTAAGAACGGGATGTATTTGACATATTCATGATTTTAATTACTCAAATGTAAGTTAATGGCATCCTTTCACATTTAGAAAAACACAAATTCTAGTAAGAAGTTTGCACTGTATACATTATTTACAGTCAATAGCTATTTATCTGTGTCTGTTATACTTTAAATGTGTCTACAAGTGGAAAAACTTCAGTTCCAGTATCTGACACAGCCCAATCTAGGGTCTGCATGCCAGAAAAACACCAAGCCCCCATACCATGTCATGCAGAAATAGACTCTCCCACATACTATGACTAAAAAGCTACACAGATCCTGGAATCTAATATTTAATCTCCAGTACAGGACCGGTGAACCTGAAATACGGTCCAGAGTGGTGCAACAATATTTAAGTCCCAGAGGTGCCTCAGTTTACATTCAGATTCATGGGGGAGACCTAGAAATCCTTTTTGAAGTAACGTATGTGTTTCTTTGGCACACACCCGGTTTTGATAGCACCAAGTTTTCCGCCTCACCACCTCTGGCTACCTGATGAAAGAACGCCGACCTGAGCGGAAGTACCATTCGATCTGCTCCAGTGTCCGCCCTTTGGTTTCCGGAACAGCAAAGTAGGTGAAGATGAGGCAGCAGACGCAGATGAAGGTGAAGAAGAAGAAAGGTGTCTCCAGATTGAAGGCATTCTAAAAAGATAAAGCAGTTTGGTCAAATTTTATATATCAGAGGAGAGGGAAGCCACCATTTGTTTAACTGGTTTAGGCAAAGGGTAATAATTATAAGCTGTGTGTGAAATACAGCATCCTTATTATATAAAAAGACAATTGTGAAGTACTTACCACAGCAGGGAGGAAAGCCTCAGTTAGAGCAAAGCCAGTAATCCAGCTGACCACCACACACAGTCCAGATGCCATTCCACGAGATTTCAATGGCAGAATCTCCGACATCAGGAGCCAGGTGATTGGACCCCAGCCAAAGGCATAACCTGAAGAGGAGGCAGATCAATCAGATCTTACCTTAAGGAATTATAAGGAAATAAAACCACAGAACTAAGAATTATACCCCTCATACTGACCAAGAGGAAGTGCTACCGTGAGGTGTCTGTGTATATACTGTATATGCTGAATAAGAAGAGATACTACGAAATACACCCAACATACAGAACAAGAGAACTGCTGTCAAGACGCATCCATACATACAGAATAAGAACAGATACTGAGAATTACACCCATCATACAGGACGAGAAGTGTTACTATGCAACATCAATATATACAGAATAAAAAGATACTGAGAATTACACCCAGTATACAGCACAAGGGAAGTGCTACTGAACCGAGTCAATACATACAGAATAAGTAAAGATACTGAATATAAAGTGCAACCATGCAGTGTCCATACATACAAAATAAGACCAGATTCTGAGAATTACACCTGACATAAAGACTGAGAGATGTGAAATTGTGCAACGTCCATAGATACAGAAAGAGATGCTGAAAATAAAACTTGCATACAAAACAGAACAGTAGAAGTGCTACTGTGCAGAGTCCATACATACAGAGTAAGAATAAATACTTGGGATTACACCCAGAATACAGGACAAGCAAAATGTTATTGTACAGCAGAATATGGATTTATGTCACAGTATAGTGAATATTAACTCTTTAACATCACACAAACAGGCTATGGACACTTTCTTTGCAAAGCATATATGACATCATAAAGAATACTGCAGAGGTAAACATGTCTGTATTCCCACCTACCTAAAACATACAACATGATACATAGAAGGGGGATGACACCCAAATAGTTTGTTGGGTGTTGAGGCCCAGGCTCATTCAGCGTCATATTAAGGGTTGTGGAATTGTGTTTTACATCAACTATGAAATGAACATACAGGCCCATCGCCAGGGAGGAGACCAGCATCAAGGAGCCTGAAAGACACAAAAGGAAAGTGACGGAGGTCATCATCTGTGTGGAAATCATTTGCACCTAGTAAACCTTTACATGGCTTGATATGTTTATTTCTGTGCCTGCAAGTGTTGTTTGAGTGCATTCAGTTGTTACATATAGAACAAAAAAAGTTGTAAGCGCACTCCTCTAGGGACAGTTGGAAAATTTTATAAGACTAATGAGGGGGAGCGATGTGTAGCCTCCATAAACAGGGAGAGGAACCCCGTATATAGACCAAAAAAAACGGAAAAGGAAGCGCTACTACCCTATAAAGAAAGTGTGGTCACAATAATGAATGAAATGTAATAGCTAACTCTCAAATGTAAACATCAAGGAAAAATGGAAGTAACTCACTGTTGGTAGTTCTGTAAATGTCCAGAAGGTGGCGTAGTACTGCAATGGTCGAGGCCTCGAAACGCGTAGCCAAACATTGGACAGTTGCCTCCCAGCCCCTCACTGACGTCACACTGTCATCCCACGGAGCTTCCCATTGACAGATAGAGCCAGTGAGCCGCGGCTGCAGTGACAGTGCTGCAGCGGCATTCTCCGCCGCTCTCTCATTGATTCGAGCAGGCTCAGCCTGGCCAGCTGAGTTCTGCCGTTTCGCCCTATGGTACATCCCACAGCTACCATCCACCCCAGACTGATTTGAGTAAGCATTATTGTCCACCACTTCCCCCAAAACCCCGCCCCCCCCGGGCAGTACTACGCCACCTTCTGGACATTTACAGAACTACCAACAGTGAGTTACTTCCATTTTTCCTTGATGTTTACATCTGAGAGTTAGCCATTACATTTCATTCATTATTGTGACCATACTTTCTTTATAGGGTAGTAGCACTTCCTTTTCCGTTTTTTTTTGTTGTTACATAGGGTGACAATCTCTTTTCCTTTGAATCATACTTTTGGAAAGTATTTGCTCCTGGATTTACTCTCTCTGCTGCCCCAAGGCCAGGTTCCTCAATGCGCCCCCACCTACCCGCAGATTTCTAGCATTATGTGAACCACTAAAGTTTGGAACATTGGCAATCCACTACCAGATAACATGCTCAATGTTTAGTGAGCTATAGAGATTTATGTATACTTACATTGGTGCACCTTGGCAGAATGTAAGTATACATGAAATGTTATCCCTTGTAGATCCACGGGGATCTGGTAAAACACTGTATGACTGCAGAAACTACTACAGTGTTTTCCAGCTATCTTCCAGGTCCTGATACTGCTGCTGTGCTGAGCTGATTCTCTGATAAAAATACTAAGCATTAACTGAATGGCCGCTGTGCTGAGCTCATTCACTGATAAAAATACTAGTGGTTCACTGAATGGCTGTTGTGCTGAGCAAGTGACCCTCTGTGTTTTCACAGTA